TATAAATGATATTCTTTATGGTTGCAGCAGCACAGTGTATAATTTTGGCTACAATAAAAATTAGTACTCCATGCTAAGCAAGGAAGAAGTAATTTATGAGTAAATTAAAAATTTTGTTATATAAATTTTAATAATGTAAGTTATATTTTATATAATGATATTTTAAAGGTTCAATTCCTTTACTTCTTAGATCATACTACTAAATATTTATTAATAAAAGTATATGCAAGCCTCTATCCCTACATAGTAGCTATATATTATTATTCCTTATAATATTTTAAGTAGTATGAGAATTATAAGCCAAAGATTAATCTTAAGATACTATTCTATATTTATACTAAATTCTAATTTTTATGTATGGTAAGGAGATGCTTTAATTATTTTTTCGAGTACCACTACTTGCGTTTGCACCATAGTTCTCTATGGCCTAATGGGCTCCTCCACTGCATCGCATGGAAGAAGCAGAAGGTGTTCCTTTGTTCTTTAGTACTTCTTGATTCTTTAGTTATTTTTCTTTCAATCTTTATCTTAAATTGCTTATTTTAAGGTTTATATAAGGAGAAATAGCTCTAAGTAGCTATACTACTTTTGCATAACTAAAACTTTACTAAAGTAAAAGTTCTCAGACACGCATACTTTAATTTTTAAAGCAACGTCTTCCTTGCCTGTTTTTCTTGCTACTAAACTTAGGCTACTTCAGCCTGCGTTAGCGAAACAAAAAAAAAGTTTAAATTAGCCTTCATTCTTACGCTTCTTGCTTGCATGGAGGAGCATATCTAGTATAAATTATGGTATACTAAAGCAACTGTATTATTCCTACTTAAAACATATAAGGATACAATTTTGCAAACTTAAGTTGCAGGATTTGTTGCCTTATTCTAGCACCGAACTAAATGTAGGAAATAAAAATTCTAGTGTTTTATTATGCCATTCAATTCAGAAATAAAAATTTTTATCTTGCTCCTCCATGCTAAGCAAGGAATAAGCGCTAGAAAAAAACTAATTTCTTAATTGATTAAATAATAGAATTGGTGTTTAAATTCTCTTTTTTAATAATCTAAAATAATTGCCACCTTGACCCTTCATTAACACTAAAAAACTCTTTCTCCTTCCGAAGGAGCCCTATTTTTCTATAGTTCTATTTTGTTATAGGCCTATGGTAGGACCGTCTGTAAAGGCCCTTATAAGGTAAATTTGTTTGATGGAGAAAATAGAGCCCGTTTAGACTGCTTTCATTTATTAAATAATAGTTTCCTTTATCTCAGTTGTTGATGGTAAAGTAAATGAGTAATAATTTGATAAGATAATCTAAATAAAGGGGGATCTAGCTCTTTTAATTATTTTAAAAAAATTAAAAAAGATGAATCAGTAAATTAAGACTGACAAAAATTTTAAATTAAAAATGACACATTTATTTTCAAACTTTAATACTATATTTAACGATGCTGCACAACCATGACAATTAGGTTTTCAAGATAGTGCTGCACCTGTATTTACAGGTATTGTTACATTACATAATACAGTAGGATTTTATTTAGTTTTAATAAGCTTTTCAGTTTTTTGAGTTCTTTTCTCAATAATTTATTACTATAATGATAAAAAAAATCCTATAGCGCACAAATATTTAACACATGGTTCAATTATAGAATTAGTATGGACTATTACACCAGCATTAATTTTAATAGCAATTGCCTTCCCTTCATTTAAACTATTATACTTAATGGATGAAGTATTATCTCCTACATTAACTATAAAAGTAGTAGGTCACCAATGATATTGGTCTTATGAATATAGTGATTTTATTACTGAAAGTGGAGATGCTATAGATTTTGATTCTTATATGATACCTGAATCAGATTTAGAATTAGGACAATTTAGATTATTAGATGTTGATAATAAATTAGTAGTTCCAGTGGATTGCCATATTAGATTAATTGTTACAGGTGCTGATGTAATACATTCTTTTGCTGTGCCATCTTTAGGACTTAAATTAGATTGTGTTCCAGGAAGACTTAATCAAGCTTCATTTCTTGCTGAAAGAACTGGGACATTCTATGGGCAGTGTTCTGAAATCTGTGGTGTATGGCATGGATTCATGCCTATTGCGGTTGAAGCAGTTACAAGTAATGAATTCCTTATATGGTTGGATTCACAAGCTTAATTTAAAAATTTTTGCTATATTATTATATTTAAATTCTATAAAATTTTTTATAATACTTAGAATTTTTATAATTTTAATGATCTATATTAGTACAAGTGATTTTTACATTTTTAATGAATTAAATTATTTAGATAATTTTTATGAAATTGATTCAATGAATTTCAGTGATTCTTTTGGTGCAAACGGAGGAAGAGGATCTAATATAAATAATTCTGGACCTTTAAATGATTCTTCAAATTCTAACTTAAACCATAATCACAATCCTAAACCTAATAATAATAATAATTATCTTTCAAAAAAAATTAAAAAAATACTTAAAGAAAAGGAATATTATGATGATGATCCAGATTGTGAAGTATTTTTTAAAAAAAAAGGTGATAAAATATATGAATTTTTATTTATGAATGATGCTGAATCTTTTGATTATGATCCTGAAAGAGATGGAACTTTAGATAAAGTTCGAGTAAAAACGGATAAAATAATCTCAGATTTTAAAAAATCTGAAAAAAATTCTGGATATGAAGGAGATTTAGAAGATAATTAAGACATGAAATAAAGATAATAGTATTATGCCATCACATTCTTTCCTTATGGCTCATTATGGTATCTTCTTCGAATTCGAATAATAAGGAGATTCAAGAGGAATAAACTCTAAGGCTCTAAGCAGCAAAGGATATATCTTTCTACTTTAAAGTAATATTAAAGATATTAAACTTTACTAATGTTTATTGCCATTTAAATCTGCAGAGCAAATTCATACATAATATAATTTTAAAGTAATTATAAATATAAGGTTAAAAATAGGCTGTAGCTATGCATGATATAATTACAGCAGCAAAGCATTAATAATATTTCCTTTATAAAAGCATAAAAGTATCTCAAATTTATTAAATTAATATAAAAAAAAAATTAATATTTTTAATTCAATAATTATATATAATTTCTTTATTTAAAAAACCAATAATTTAATAATATTGTAACCAGTATTATAATTTTTACTAATTTTAATTAATTAGATTTTTTTATACTGATCCATAGATTTTTTAATCATGAAACTTTACATCGCAGGGAGAAGAATTTATAATTTATTTACTTAATTATCTTTAGCAAGTATTAAGTATGAAATATATTAGTAAATATTATTATAGGTAATTATTTAAGTAACTTTTTAATATATAAGTCTTACTTAACTTACCAAAAAAATAAAATATAAAATTTAAAGCCCAGTGTTTAACAAATAATTATTAAATTTATTATTAAATGATTGATTATAGTATTTATTGTTTTATAAAATATGCTAAATTTTTGAAAATTTTATCGATCAAATCTTTTATTTTAAAGATGTATTCTTGCTCAGGCTCTGCAGCCGTAATAATAACTTATTCTTCGACTGCTTCTGCCTTGCTATGCATGGAGGAGCACTCTTAATAGTCCTATAGTTTTTTGCGCTCCTCTCCCTCCTACTTGCGGAGCAGGGGCTACAGGCTCCTACTTGCGGAGCAGGGGCTGGATATATAGGAGTGTTCGCTTCTAGGCCTACGGAGTCTACGGATAAGTAGTTTATCGGCAAGGTAATATATTATATATTTTATTAAGAACCAATACTTTAATTATCCTCGCTGCTCCGTTTGGATCACTAAGATCACACTCAATAATTTTTATTTTATTACTATATTTAATTATTTTTAAGGGTACCATAGACGTAGAAAGAAGTGCTATAAACTTATTATCGCTTTTGAGCGAAGCACATGTTTTTATGTAAAGTTACTAATAAATTTTCTTCTAAAAAAAATAAATAGAGCCTTAAGGTATTAGTATTATAATGGCTTTATCTTTTTTTAATTAATTTTAATAAAATTAGATTATCGTTAAAAAATATAATATATTAAGTTTAATCTTTTTTTGATAAAATATATAAATAGTCATAAAGATAAATTAAAAAAAATAATATCTAAAAGAGGTAAGATTAGTTTAATGGTAAAACAACGTCTTGTGGCGACGATATTTGGAGTTCAAGTCTCTGATTTTACCCTCACTCACTAGTGGCACTAGATAATGCATCTATTCTTTGTTTATTTTTTTGAGGACAGTGCTGCTTAGCAGCAATGAAATTTTATTTTTTTAAGTTTACTCTTACTTTTTTTAGTACCGTAAGTAAAAGTAGGACTTATTGTTAATAAGAAAATACTAAAGTGTTGGACACTAACCCGTTAATCTTCCCAAAACTTAGTAAAAATTATATATTTCTTATTTCGCCTTCTTCTTCCTACGCTACGCACCGACGCAGAAGAGGAGGAATAAGCTCCTCCAGCTAATACTCCGTTCGGCCGCTCAAAAGGATGCGAGAAAGGAAGAAAAAAATTTATTTTTAATTTAAGTTATGTAACTAGTTTAGCCTCTGTTTATCGTATCGTACCTCACTATATACATAAAGTTTAATTTTATAATTTTTTAGGTGGCACTCAATTCTCTTTGCTACGTTTTCACTATTGCTAGTACTAATTTTAGTAAAGAGGACCAGCAACAAACAATGTCATTTAATGTCAAATGATTGTCTCCTCCATGCGAAGCATGGAAGAAGCTGCCTTGCTTAGCATGGGGTGAGATAAAAGCTTGTAAATTAAATTTAATCTTCTATTTGGATAAGTAGAGGATAATAGTATTTAATATATTAATAAAGTCCTCAAATATTACTAGGTAACTTGATCAGTTTAATGTAAAAATTTTAGTGTAAGTTTAATGAATAAATTTAAGAGTGTAATATAATTGGTCAGTATGTTGATCTCCAAAATCAATCGTAGGTGTTCGAGTCACCTCATTCTTGTAAATTAAAAAAAAAGGGCCCTTAGCTTAATAGGTAAAGCATCTAATTGTCAATTAGGGTTATCCCAGTTCGAATCTGGAAGGGCTCGATAAATAATTGTTCCCCTTGCTTCGCATTAACCCTGTTCGGAGCAACGCAAAATAAACTCTACACTACTAAAAATGCTTTTTTTCATCATATAATAGAAGCAGGGTAAATTGTATTTTTTAGATTTTAATTTTTTAAACTTTTAATCTAGGTAGATTGGTTAAAGTGTTGTGAAACTTTTAGAAAATTCCTAAAATTATTATTTTTGCAAAGCAGCGATTCAAAAGAGGGGAGTGTATTAATAATACTTATATATTTTTAATTGCATTGTGTATCCCCTGCTCCGCAAGTAGGAGGGAGTTTAATAACAATACTTCTTAGGGCTTACAGGAGTAAGGAATAGAGCCTTTGCTTAGCATGCAGTCAAAGTTGTACTCCTTCCCTCCCTATGGGCCCTATGGGAGGGCGGGAGCAAAAAAAGCCTATAATTTAATGGTTAGAATAATTTCTTGATGAGGAATCTGTAGAAGTTCAAATCTTCTTGGGCTTAATTACTTATATAAACTAATAACTATAAAAAAAAAAGGAATATTTTTATTTTAATAAAAAAAATTAATTTAAAAAATTCTTTTTTTTAAAAGATAAGCTAAAGCTAAATATATAGTAATTATATATTATTTTTATATAGTTTTATATCTATAAAAATTTTAAACTTTAGCCACTTCAAATTTTAATTAGAAAAACTAATACTATTTGAAGGTTAACCTTCACTCTATATTTTAAGTAATATTTATTCTATGCATTTTTTCTAAACGTTAAATTTTAATTATTAGTAAGTTAGTAAGATTCTCCTTACCTTATAACTGCTTCTTCTTAGAAGAAAAACAGCATCTGTTATTGCTTGCATCTAAACAGAAGCTTAACTGCTAAGTAGAAATTCATCCTTGTTCTTAAAATAAAAACAGAGTATAAGAAATAAAGCTAGTTTTATCTATTCTTAATAATATTTCAGTAAATACTTTAGGCCATAAGGCTGCGTTTACCTAAAATAGACTTATAACTAGGCTACAGGTAAGCAACATAGCAAGAGTGTTTCTAAAATTAGAGCAAGCTACTTTTTAAATAAAGTTGCTCTAGCTCTAAAGAGTGAAGAAAAAAAGCAAATATTCTTAAATAAATTTATTATTTAATTAGTTGCTTTTCTAATAAACTAAACTATTAAAAAAAATATTGATTATCTTTATACCAATATATTACTTAACCTTAATTCAAAAATAGAATATTTATAATTATTATCAATTACTCTCTTACCTACTACCTTGCTACGCAGCTATAAGGAGGAGTGAGCAGACGAAATTAGCGAAAATAAATAAAATTATAAGTTTATTATATTTAATATAAATAATCTTCGATCTATATAAGGTTTTAAAATATTGATGTATTGCCATTCCTAAATATCATAAATCAAACAAAATTTTAACTGTGGAATTGCTCAGCATAGTTAGCTATTTAAGCTTGTAAAAGCTGCTTTATATTGAGCTTGTTTAACTTAACTGCTTTGGCATCAAATGTTCCATATTGCCTCTCTCTTTCTATCTTTCACTTAATAATAATACTCCTCCTTATTTGTAGGTTTTGCTTATTCTTCGAAGAATAAGAAGAGAGAGAGTAGCATATTAAGAAGGATATTATTAATAAACAGATATGTACAGATGGCTAAAGATAATTATAAAAAAAATTTTTTTTATTTACTTTATATTTACATAAATAACAATGAAATACTTAAAAAAATTAAAAAACAAAAAATACCCGTTCGTGAAAAGCGTGCAAAGAAAAAAAACAAAAAAAAGTGCGCTTACACACAATAACTTATTAATTAATATTATTAAAAAATATAAATATTTTATTAAAGGTAATGATAATGTACAGTCATATAAAACTATTTTATCAATAGTACCTAAAGGAGGAAGCACTGAACAGCTAGCGCAAAATAATATTATATCTCCATTTTTAGATCTGCCTACACATGTTTCAGGTGAATCTCCTAATCATATCTATAATAACTTAAAATATAACCAATATATTCGACAAATTTTAAATGTAAAAGGTGATAAATTAGAAGAAAAAGCTAATTATATGTCATTTCAACCAGAATTAATAGAACCTGCTTCTTCTTCGAATAATAAGGAAGAGGATAATATAAAAATTGATAAAAGAATTTTACCTATTTTTAGTGCTCCTATTATTTTAAAAAAAATTAGTGATAAAAAAAAAGGGATTACTTCTTCTACCTTAGTTGCGGAGCAAGGATCAAGAAATAAAAACAAATTAAATTATAAAATTACTAACTTTAATAAAAAATTAAAAAAATTAGTCAAATTGATTAAAAAATATAATTTAACTATGAATTCATTCAAAGGAAGTAAATTAGATTTAATATTATACTTAAGAAATAATTTATATTTTAATTTAAATATTCGTTTTTCTAATATTTTTTTATAAAATTAATTTGATTAGTCCTGCTCTTAGAAGTCGAAGCAAAAAAAGAGAGGGCTTCACCTTATTATTCGATGAAGAAGCAGAAGATAATAAAAGATCTATTTATAATTTTTCACTAGGTGCTGCTTCACACCTGCAAAATATTTCTTCCTCAAGCTCTGCTAGAAGTGCAGGAAGATTTATCTTACCTACACAGCCTTCGCTAAAAAATGACTTAATAGACACTTATAAAGATATAGTTAATAATAAAGAAATGGATAATTATAACTTATTTTCTAGCTTATCCTTAAAAAATTCTAAATCTTTAACTCCTAACGTTTATACACCAATTAATGAAAAAAAAATTAATTATTTATTATTAAAGTTAAATAATTTAATGAAAAAAATAGAATATATAATTAATATAATTAATATAAACGAAATATTTTTAAAAAATTATAATTCTATTAACAATGAAAATAATATTGATCAGTTAACAGTTAGCTCAACTGAAGCTAAAGGAATGGATAAGAAAAAATTAAACTCATCGCTTTTAACAAGCCATTCCATTTGGGGAGGAGAAAAAGTTGAACAAAAAGTATCTTATGCTATGCCTGTAACATCTGCTACTAAATCAAATAAAAATTTAAATATATCTAATATCTGCTTCTCAGAAGTTGAAGAAAATACTAATAAAAAAGATATATATTTAAAAATTACTAGTCCATATATTGCAGATCAATCTACGCTAAACACTAATAATATAGCTGCTCCGTTCGTTGCGGCGCAAGAGCAAGAAATAATTAATGAAAATAAAATAAAAATAGAAGAAACTATTAAATCAATTACTAAAAGCTGTGCAGTAGACAGCCAATCAATATTGGAGGCTAGTTCAATATCCCTTTCTGCTTCTCCAGCAAAGGAAGAAATACTAAGCAAAGAAGGTGTAGCAGAAGTATCATCTCTTCAAGATAAAGGTATATTTACTAAAAAGTTTGATTCTAAATTTGATACTATTTCCTTAAAATCTAATCCAGTTGATTTATTATATTTTAATAATAATATTAATCAACCAATTATTAATAAATATTTAAAATCAATGAGTAGTTATAATATGGTAAGAAATGGAACTATTATGTATTTTTCTAATATTATTAGTTATAATTTTTATAATAACAATTTAAGACCAGAAGCACAAAATATTTATAAATTATTATATTCTTCATTTAGAGCTATGAATTGTTTAATTAGTAAACCTATATTTATTATTAAATCAAATAAAATAACTATTCAATTGTTTTATTATTTATTAGGCCCTAAACAACTTAAAGGTAAAATTTATAACTTTAAAAAATGAAGTGCAACATTAAATAATGCATTAAAAAATTATGTGTGATTAAAAAAAAAATCAGATTATCATTTTACATTAAAAAAACGAATAAGAAAAAAATTCAGAAAAATATATATAACAAATAAAATAGGATTAACTAATTCTTATCCTTTAAAATTAAAAAAATTAATTGAAGTTTTAAACAATTTATTTAAAAAACCTGTTGAATTAGAATTAATTAGATTACATTATCCTTATAATGATAGTAATATTCTAGCAAGACTATTAGGTTTTATGATTAATAAAATAAAATTTAGAAGAATTACTAGAAAATTAATTAGAAAATCTATAGTAAAAAATATTAAAAAACAGGATAATAAGGCTTCAAGCGCATCCGAAAGCAATGTAATTCCAGCTTTCTTAACTGGTTTAAATATTAAAGTAGCCGGACGTTTACTAACTTATAAAGCTGTACCTCGTAGAACAGTAAAAATGATTAATAAAGGATGTTCTTCTATAGGAAAAATTAATTATACTGATTTATCTAGATATACAAATAAAAATAAAAGAGGTGCATTTACTATTCTTGTAAAATCTTCACAAAATTTCTTTTAAACTATTTTAATATTATTATAAAGATATTTAATAAAATAATATCTAATTAAAAATTTTTAAATTTAATACAAAAAAAGGATAAAATTAAAATTAACCCCCATACTCATACTAACTATTTTATAGACCAATGCTTTGGTACTATACACTACTAGCCTTTTACAAATTGCTACGTGTTAAGTTAGCAAAGTTTGTGGTAATAAAATTAAAGATAAAAGTCTTCGTCTTCTGCGTAGCAAGAGAAATCACTTGTCTTATTTACTTTAGGCTATGCTTATCTCCTTAATGACATATATGAATGGTTGGATGTATGTGCACTACACATCAAATTATTAAAAGTAGGCAACACTTCTTCCGTAGGAGGAGCCCTGCAGTAAAGCTATAAATAAAATTTTAAACCCAGCTAAAAAGAGGTAGGCCATCACAGTAAGCATAGATAAAGCTTTTTGCATATATTTCTAAAAATTTACTAGGGAGGCGAAACCGAAGCATGCACAGTTTATAAATTAGCAAATGGGTACTTCCGAAGGAGGCAGCTGCTTATGCAAAAAAGTATAATTAGATAAATAGATAATAATAAAATAATGATACAATAAAAAATAAAAATTTTTAAAAGGATCGATGACAATATTGTAATAACA